GTCGGTGTGCGTGACCGCTGAGAGTTCAGACGGGAGGTTAGTGTGTACTTGCGTGTGAACGCATACGGCGGAAGACCACTCTTAGTTTACATAAGGCACCTGATCATGTGCCATCTGCCTGAATTTCCGGTCCTCAACTCTCATCAGTGTCTTATTATCCTGAAAAACTCAATCAACCCCCATTACTAATGAACCTACTCCAGGTTTTGAAACTTACAGACATGCAAAAACAACTGGTTAGCTGGAGGCATTTATAAAATGTTACACTTTCATTGCAAATATTACTACTATTATTGCAGCTATTGCTACTACTGTTACAACAATGCATAAAGTTGCAGCACACATAGCCCATTTCTATGGGTGCATTGAAGCTGTGACAATGTTCTCATTAGAAAACAGAGGCACACCATAAATCTAAAATAGTGTCAAAAGTAGTATCTTCACAACTGGCAGATCATCTTCACTTTTGTAAAAAATGTTTTTAAAAATGTCTGTCAAAGCAATACAGAGGTTTGAGGGAAACCAACTGTAATAAGGAAGGGTTATGGGAATCAAAAAACTTTCCAAGCTAGAAATGTTTAACGTATCTTCTATCATATGACAGCAGAAGCAACAGACCGACACTTTCTACACAGGTTTACTGTTTTGTCGGTCTCCAGTGGCAACTATAGTGATGGATTTGTGGTTGCAAAGCGGTAACGTCTGTAACAGTTTCAGTAATACACGATGTGATCTAACAGCCATATACTAGCCGAATACTACGACAGAAAAGAGTAAAACACGAACACCGATAAGGCACGTCCCAAGCACAACACTGGCTATTTTAAAGAAACGATCAGGGACTGAATAACGTACTACGTGCAAAGTAACTCTAAAATGCTACAATATACCAGTATTTTGCAACTTCAATGCTCAACGGCAATCACCTGCGGTATTTTATTCTATCTGACTACACTCATTGTAACAAAATATGAAACATTCAGCAAGCAATCAGAGAAGATGACAAGACAGCTGCATAGAATTAATTTTGATTACGGACTGTGTTGATTGTGTTGCACTGGATGAGATCTGAAATATGACAGAACTGAAGAGAAGTCTTCAATACTTACTGGAAAATGGTAGCTAACTAAAGGGCTTGATGCTCTGCAGTCCTGCTTGCCAACAACGTGTTGCATTTATAACAATAACATAATTCCCCATTCACAGCTTAGCCAAAAAAGTATAGATTTCAAATGAATACGCGTGTTGTTATTGCAACGATAACGCAACGGGGATATCTAGACGTCTCTAAGGAGAGCAGAAAATCACGTTCCTCAGAGATCAATCTGACTACTCTTTCTGGACGCCGTCAGTCTCTCCGCCATCGCCTGTCCTCACATCGGAGTCAACGTACAGTGGAATCATATCGGTGCCGTAATCAATTGTATTTGAAACGCAGCAGAAATTGCGACTTGACTTCACGTCCACTTGAATTCTGACAACAGATAACGGGAACAGCCGACGCTGGCTTGGTGCAGTCTAACGTGAAACCGCAACGCTTCGGTGTGCGTTTACGAGCGTGTGATTGGTTGTAATGTATGGCAATCACCAAACGCTCCAGCGCTACTATAGCAAAGAAGCCTGGTAAATGTATTTCTATTTATATTACAATCTTATGAAACGGTGCGGTTTAAACACGAAACTTTGGTCCACCTAGGCACGCGTGCAAGACAGCGGAAGTCCATACAGTTTGTACTGATATAGGTATTTTATGTACTGTTTATGTTTGCGTCGAAGGAAGTCCATCATCTGTTCTGAATCTCTCTTTTAGTGAAGTCAAATCAATGACCTCATGTCCAAATTTCTCCTTTAACCAGACACGTCAGCCCCGTTAGTTATCGCCTTTTCTTACTATGGTGTATTTTTCCAATAAAAAATAAGGACATACATAATTCACAGACACACACACACGGAAAAAGGAACCTTCGGGACTTGCAAAAACTTCAACAATGTGGAAACTTTATAATAAATTATTATTATATAAATTGCTTTTCTTTTTGACAACGAGTACAAAATGCATCTTTTGAGAATACCATGCAAAAGACAGGTGGTATTTCAGATCTCTCTGCTGTTGCCGGTGCCAATTTAAATATGGATCGAGTGTTACAGCTGCTAATCTCAAATGTCAGTGACAAACTGAGGAGACTATTCTCACCGCGGAATACTTTATTAGAATTGACTGTTAAAGTTAATTTATAGATTAGTCATTGCTGCCGTAACGGGAGAGCGCAATCGCTTGAAAACAATCCTACCCCTCAATCCCCATCTCAGTGCTGTCAAGCAGGCATTATTTTTCTTTGTCGAATGCTTTCCTTTCTTTTCCCTTTATTGATGCAATTCACAGACGTAGAGTATAAATACCACCGGGAACGTCCTAATCTATGCATATGTGATGTAAATCCTAGTATAAAATTCAGAGCTCAGACCACATTAAAGTTCTTAAGAGATATGAAGTCTATCTGTATATTAGTGTGTGGCAATGTATTGTAGGGTGTTTCTATTTTGTTATGTCTTGTGCTTCCTGATTCCGGTAAGAGGAGTCCGTGATTACTCGAAAATTCGCAGTCACGTGCCTCATTTATAAGTTTGTAAAATAATTGCTTTATGAATCTCTGATTCATTGAAGTGTTAGATTTTGCGAAGATACCGGTAAATTAATCAATAACACAGTGGCTATCAGAGAGGAAAACCGTGCTTGATGGATGCCTATATGTCAGCTGATGGCCGGTGTTCTTGACAATTTTAATCAGGCCGTTAATAATGTTGATACTTCAGCAAAAGGGTCTGCAGTCAGATTTTTCTTGCGCTTTAAATGAGTTTCTTGTTATAGATTTAAATTTCCACAAGAGGACTACAGATCTATATGTTGGCGATCAGACCTGCATGAAAATGACCAAAACGTGAGCTGAATATTTTAGTTGTTTTATGAATCTGTGGTTTTGAGGGCTTGCAGTTGATAGGACCGCAGGTAAACTCTATAACCAGACACATCAGTGAGGACAAAGTTGGAGTGGTTCAGTGCTTCATAGTGTTTCACATGTGGGGGTTCAATGTTAGTGGTGTGGTTGTGAGGGTAAACCAATCCACTGTTTGAACCACAAATACAAATGGGCCTCTGCTAATGGCAAGTGTTGCAGGTGGCATATCTTTTTTAAAAATGTGTTATTTGAACATGCACTGTTTTTGTTATGTTTTATGTATCTGGTGAATGAACAGGAAATAGCAGAACTGGGAACTGGGTCAGTTCTGGACTACAAGTAACTGTGTCCTCTCAGACACAATTTATTATGATGTTATTTACCTTTCATGTGCTAAAAGTGGCATATGTTATGTTTAACCTCCAAAACAGTTCGCTTTCCATCATTAAAAATTACTGTAGCCATTATGAACACAGCAACACTGAATGTCATTATCATGTGATATAGACAGCCATAACAAGGGAGACAGCTGGAAAGTTGGATATCCAACAAAGTATTATAGTAAAACAGTGATGAGAGAGCTAGTAGGCCAGCTATTTCAGAGACAGAGAGAGAGAGACTATGAACCATTGTATTGAAAAGGATATTTCTGCCCAGCTCTGAAAAGTCAGAACAGTCATACATGGCAAATTTGTTGATTTTTACTTTTGCGTTCTATAATTCACATAGCTGTTAATGCATGTGTTGTGGCTATGAATTTAAACTTGCAGCCACTGAAGACAAGTGACAAGGTAGCTAGTTGAAATGGTTTTCAATGTTAGCTGACTAAGATGCTTGCCAGCCGATCATTCTCAGATGAAAAAAGATTGCTAGTCAGCAAAGGACACTGGTGATTCACCTGAAACTCAAACAGCCAGACTGAAAAAAAAGAAATCTTTATTTTTGTGGAGATAATCACCATCAGTTGAGTGCATGGCCAGAAGTTGTCATGCAATGACATCATTGATGACTTGGCCACCAAACAAGACAGTGCCCGGAAGAAGCTGGAGCAGTCTTCTGCCTTAGTCTTGCCAATCACGATTTTGGCAGGGGGATTTTCAGGAACATAACCCCAGTGATTAGCGAAGGACTGCTGTAAGTTAAAAAGGTAATTAGATTGGTCTAATCCCTTAATTTGCTCTTAAATACATGAAGAGGCCCAATACGTATGTAGGAGTGAAAAGGATTGAGGATCTCTGTCATAAAATCAAAGGGACATGCCATAAATGCTATTTTGTTATTTATCTATTAATTTCATGTATTACTAAAAGTAAATTTTAATGATTTGAAAAAGGAAAAACTATACATGTTTTGCATATTTTTCTAACAATATGTCATAGTTGGGCTTAATTACATCCTTACAAAATTTTTGTAGTTGGTAATCATCGTTTTTTTCTTGCTGACAACTACTGTTAAAAGGAGCAATGCTGCCCCCTACTGTAAATTTAAGAAAACATACACGATAGAGACGAACTGGAAAAGATGCAAATGGTAAATGATCCTGTTGTTTTCATGGGTCTAGATCTTCACATTTAAGAGATTGAAGCTGACCTTTGATTCATATTAATTATGGTTACATAAAAGAAATTTGAACTACATTCCCTTCATCCACTCTTAGGAAGCACTGGCTGCAGGCTTACACAAATCAATTTTAAAAAACTACATTTTACATTAATTACTTTGGCAGAGAATCTCAGGCACAGACCATATAAAAAGTAACACAGAAACAGAAAAGATGAGTTACATACTTGAGTGTCAACACATGAAAAATAATTCATATGAACATAATGTACCATGAGTCCATGAGTCAATGAAAGTATTAGTTCGAAAGTACAGCATCCAATCTCAGATCTTGTCAAATTAATCTGTGTCAATGACTGCAGTACACAGATCAACGAAAGGATATTGCTCAATTGAGGCATCGCGAGTGATGACAAAAAACATCATCTGGTAATAACATGGCACAGGACTAAAACTGAATTAACTTCCCCTCCAAAGATATCTACCTGCATGTGGCCTAATGGATAAGGTGTCTGATTTCAGATCAGAAGATTGAGGGTTCGAGTCCCTTTGTGGTTGTTGAAATGCGCAGGCCTTAGCCGGCAGTGTTCGTTTCACTTGTGACTTTTCAGCATCCCATTCTGAGATTCATCTGAAAGCAACACCTGATGCACAAAATGGCCCACTTTGTCTTGCTGCTATGCAAAAATTCAGAACTATTACTATTTTTTCTCAGAGGGACTCTCTTCTTGTGGGGTTCCATGGTGTAATGGTCAGCACTCTGGACTTTGAATCCAGTGATCTGAGCTCAACTCTCAGTGGAACTGTTGGTGTGAGGTGAGTGTTCTTACACTCACTCTTGTTCCTAAAAACAGCCAACAAACCAAGTCAAACATCCAATTTATACAACATTGGGTGTGTCATTGCTGTTCATGAATGGAAATGCTAACACGCTAGCAAGTCTTAATGACGACATATTGTGATGCTTGAAATCCTTTGTTTGTTTGTTTCATTCCAATTTAGCATACGTTATCGTACACTGTGCAGATCAACAAGTTGGTGGGGATTGTGAGATGGTACCATGAGTCCATGGGTCCATGAAGGCATCTGTTCAACAGTGCAGCATCCACTCTGAGGAAATGTCAAGTTAATCTAGGTTAACGACAGCAGAACACAGATCAACGACGAACTACCGCTCATGGAAAGAACTGAGACATTGTGGGTGATGACAACAAAGATGATGTGAGAACAGCATTGCACTGGAATATGACTGCATTTAGTTCTACTCTAGAGAAAAGTTCTTGTATGTGACCGCGTTCGAGTCCCTTCATGGTCGTTGAAAATATCGAATTTTAACAGGCGGCATTCATTTCAGTTGTGAGACATCAGGATCCCATTCTGACATTCAACTGAAAGCAACGCCTGATGTACAACACAAAAACATATCCCCCTCCTCTTGCCAATTTGCAAAATTTCAGACCTGTTACTATTTTTCCTCAGAGGGGCTGTCATTGTGTTGTGTGGTTCCATGGTGTAATGGTCAGCACTCTGGACTTTGAATCCAGCGATCCGAGTTCAAGTCTCGGTGGAACCTTTGGTGTGAGGCCAGTCTTCGTACACCAGCTCTTGTTCTTAAAAACATCTACAAAACCAAAACAATGACCCTATTCCCATGACAGTGGGTGTGCTGTTCCTGTTTTTGAATGGAAATACTAATGTGCTAGCAAATCTCAATAACAACATATTGTGATGCTTAAAAACCTTTGTTTGTTTGTGTCATTCCAATTTTGTCATATGTCATTTTATCCTACACAGTGCAGATCTATGAGTTGGTGGGAATTGTGAGATGGTGCCATGAGTCCATGGGTCCACGAAGGCATTCGTTCAACAGTATGGCATTCACTCTGAGATAATGTCAAGTTAATTTAGGTAAATAACAGCAGAACACAGATCAATGACGACCTACTGACCACGGAGAGAATTGAGATGTTGCGGGTGAGGGCAACAAAGATGATTTGGGAATAGCATAGTGCAGGAATAAGACTGAATTTCATTCTAGTCTAGAGGCCTTTTCCTCAGTGTGACCGCGTGGCCTGATGGATAAGGTGTCTGACTTCGGATCAGAAGATTGCGGGATTGCGTCCCTTCGCGGTCGTTGAAATGCTCAAGTTTTAACAGGCAGTGTTCATTTCAGTTGTGAGATGTCTGGATCCCATTCTGAGATTCAACTGAAAGCAATGCCTGATGTACAAAACAAGAAAATAGGCCACCTCCTCTTGCCACTTTGCAAAATTTCAGACCTGTTACTATTTTTTCTCAGAGGGAGTTGCATCAGGCTACAGTGTAATGGTCAGCACTCTGGACTTTGAATCCAGTGATCCGAGTTCAAGTCTCGGTGGAACCTTTGGTATGTGAGGCCAGTCTCCATACATCTGCTCTTGTTCTTACAAGCAGCCCCAAAACCAAGGTAATGACCCAATTCCCATGACATTGGGTGTATCATTGCTGTTCTTGGAAGGAAATGCTAACATGCTAGCAAATCTTAATGACAACATATCGTGATGCTTAAAAGCCTTTGTTTGTTTGTGTCATTCCAATTTAGCACTACTCTAGAGAGACACTCTCGTCCGTGACCGCGTGGCCTAATGGATAAGGCGTCTGACTTCGGATCAGAAGATTGAGGGTTCGAGTCCCTTCATGGTCGTTGAAATGCTCAAGTTTTAACAGGCGGCGCTCATTTCAGTTGTGAGATCCCGGGATCCCATGCTGAGATTCAACTGAAAACAACACAAAAACATATCCCCCTCCACTTGCCAATTTGCAAAATTTCAGACCTGTTACTATTTTTCCTCAGAGGGGCTATCATTGTGTCGTGTGGTTCCATGGTGTAATGGTCAGCATTCTAGACTTTGAATCCAGTGATCCGAGTTCAAGTCTGAGTGGAACCTTTAGTATTAGGCCAGACTTCTTACACCGACTCTTATCCCTAAAAGCATCCACAAAACCAAAGCAAACATCCAATCCACGTGACATTGGGTGTATCATTGCTGTTCTTGAAAGGAAATGCTAACATGTTAGCTTATCTTAATGACAACATATTGTGATGCTTAAAAACCTTTGTTTGTTTGTGTCATTCCAATTTAGCACTACTCTAGAGAAGTGCCCTTGGCTGTGACCGCGTGGCCTAATGGATAAGGCGTCTGACTTCGGATCAGAAGATTGAGGGTTCGAGTCCCTTCACGGTTGTTGAAATGACCAAGTTTTAACAGGCGGTGTTCATTTCAGTTGTGAGATGTCAGCATCCCATTCTGAGATTCATCTGAAAGCAATGCCTGATGTACAAAACAAGAAAATAGGCCACCTCCTCTTGCCACTGTGCAAAATTTCAGAAATGGTGCAGGAATAAGACTGAATTTCATTCCAGTCTAGAGGCTTTTTCTTGCATGTGATTGCGTGGCCTAATGGATAAGGCGTCTGACTTCGGATCAGAAGATTGAGGGTTCGAGTCCCTTCGCGGTCGTTGAAATGCTCAAGTTTTAACAGGTGGCATTCATCTCAGTTGTGAGATGTCTGGATCCCATTCTGAGATTCAACTGAAAGCAATGGCTCATGTACAACACAAAAACATATCCCCCTCCACTTGCCAATTTGCAAAATTTCAGACCTGTTACTATTTTTCCTCAGAGGGGCTATCATTGTGTTGTGTGGTTCCATGGTGTAATGGTCAGCAGTCTGGGCTTTCAATCCAGTGATCTGAGTTCAAGTCTCAGTGGAACCTTTAGTATTAGGCCAGACTTCTTACACTGACTCTTATCCTTAAAAGCATCCACAAAACCAAGTCAAACATCCAATCCACATGACATTGGGTGTATCATTGTTCTTGAAAGGAAATGCTAACATGCTAGCTGATCTTAATGACAACATATTGTGATGCTTAAAAGCCTTTGATTGTGTCATTCCAATTTAGCACTACTCTAGAGCAGTGCCCTCGGCTGTGACCACGTGGCCTAATGGATAAGGCGTCTGACTTCGGATCAGAAGATTGAGGGTTCGAGTCCCTTCGCGGTTGTTGAAATGCTCAAGTTTTAACAGGCAGTGTTCATTTCAGTTGTGAGATGTCTGGATCCCATTCTGAGATTCAACTGAAAGCAATGCCTGATGTACAAAACAAGAAAATAGGCCACCTCCTCTTGCCACTTTGCAAAATTTCAGACCTGTTACTATTTTTTCTCAGAGGGAGTTGCATCAGGCTACAGTGTAATGGTCAGCACTCTGGACTTTGAATCCAGTGATCCGAGTTCAAGTCTCGGTGGAACCTTTGGTATGTGTGGCCAGTCTCCATACATCTGCTCTTGTTCTTACAAGCAGCCCCAAAACCAAGGTAATGACCCAATTCCCATGACATTGGGTGTATCATTGCTGTTCTTGGAAGGAAATGCTAACATGCTAGCAAATCTTAATGACAACATATCGTGATGCTTAAAAGCCTTTGTTTGTTTGTGTCATTCCAATTTAGCACTACTTTAGAGAGACACTCTCGTCCGTGACCGTGTGGCCTAATGGATAAGGCGTCTGACTTCGGATCAGAAGATTGAGGGTTCGAGTCCCTTCATGGTCGTTGAAATGCTCAAGTTTTAACAGGCGGCGCTCATTTCAGTTGTGAGATCCCGGGATCCCATGCTGAGATTCAACTGAAAACAACACAAAAACATATCCCCCTCCACTTGCCAATTTGCAAAATTTCAGACCTGTTACTATTTTTCCTCAGAGGGGCTATCATTGTGTCGTGTGGTTCCATGGTGTAATGGTCAGCATTCTAGACTTTGAATCCAGTGATCCGAGTTCAAGTCTGAGTGGAACCTTTAGTATTAGGCCAGACTTCTTACACCGACTCTTATCCCTAAAAGCATCCACAAAACCAAAGCAAACATCCAATCCACGTGACATTGGGTGTATCATTGCTGTTCTTGAAAGGAAATGCTAACATGTTAGCTTATCTTAATGACAACATATTGTGATGCTTAAAAACCTTTGTTTGTTTGTGTCATTCCAATTTAGCACTACTCTAGAGAAGTGCCCTTGGCTGTGACCGCGTGGCCTAATGGATAAGGCGTCTGACTTCGGATCAGAAGATTGAGGGTTCGAGTCCCTTCACGGTTGTTGAAATGACCAAGTTTTAACAGGCGGTGTTCATTTCAGTTGTGAGATGTCAGCATCCCATTCTGAGATTCATCTGAAAGCAATGCCTGATGTACAAAACAAGAAAATAGGCCACCTCCTCTTGCCACTGTGCAAAATTTCAGAAATGGTGCAGGAATAAGACTGAATTTCATTCCAGTCTAGAGGCTTTTTCTTGCCTGTGATTGCGTGGCCTAATGGATAAGGCGTCTGACTTCGGATCAGAAGATTGAGGGTTCGAGTCCCTTCGCGGTCGTTGAAATGCTCAAGTTTTAACAGGTGGCATTCATCTCAGTTGTGAGATGTCTGGATCCCATTCTGAAATTTAACTGAAAGCAATGGCTCATGTACAACACAAAAACATATCCCCCTCCACTTGCCAATTTGCAAAATTTCAGACC